TCCAAGAATGTGCTCTCTTCCTCTGCCCACTCTTGGGGAAGAATGGTTCACGGTTTGGGGGACCAAGCATAGTTCCAGCCCCAAGATCCTAACATCTAAGCCCTTAGATTGGCCCCTCCTCTTCTTACCAGGGAAGGGGTCTGAGCAGATGCAATGCTTGAATTTAATACAGACTTAAAATATACTGGAATGCTGATGTCACCTTCTAGTACCTTTTCTTTAGGGAGCTGGTTTAGGCTTAGAGCAGCCATTGTGGACCTGGCACAATTGACTATCTTTCTGTCCTAGTTTTCTGGAGTTACATAGTCTGGGCTCCATCCAAGATATTTGCTTCAGGGCCAACAATGCAGGCCAACCTGAATTCGATTCCATGTCCCCGTTTAGCTGGTACTCTTTAGGAAGGGCATGGACCACTTTTGGGTCTCCTTTTCCCATCTGGGAGGGCTAGACATTACGAATGCTAAGCTCTTTGCACAGTATCTTACACTGAACAAACACAAACATAGTTGTTACTATTGTTAACTTTGATATCTGAAAATATGGCTACTCAGAATTTGTTCAATGCCTTGTAAAATCTAGGTCACCACTTTGCCTGGTGTCCTGGGGTGAAAGTCCATTGCTTGGGGCATAGAATCTCTCCCTCATTTCTTGCCTGGTCCCCAGTACTTGTTTAGCATCACTATGTCTGTGGAGGGCATGTGTCAGGGGAGGCACATTGTGCTATGCTGGAAAGAAGGACCTCTGACCAAGGTTCAAGTTGAAATTGCACCCCTTCTCTCAGAGCTGAAACGTGGGCCCCAGGAAATTCCCAAGGTGCAAAATCATACTCATAGGGTGGCATTGTGAAATGTTCACACTATGCACATGCTGGCCAAGACTTGGTTGCTGTCCATCCATTTCATGTCCCCATCTTACTTAGGCCATGCCATCTCATCTAATTTTCATAATAATTCTGTGAGATAGTCAGTGAGGGTTGGTCACCCATTTTACATGTTGAGGACTGGGGAGACCCAAGGAAATAAGTGACTTGCCCAAAGTCACCTCCATAGTTAGAGAGGAAGCAGCTTTGTTGCAGGCCTTCTGTTCCTTGACAAGTGCCCATTCACTAAATCCAGCCCCCATGGGTCATGGAGGAGAGGTGCTGAGCCTCTGTGGGATGGAGACTCCTTCTGGAGGGCTGCCAGGCAGGAACTGTGTGCTTCATACAAGAGCCCCACACGTGGTCCTCCTGCCTTGGCCTTGTCGGAGCCAGGAACAGTCTTGCTTAACAACAAGCTCCTGTAAATAGCACTTCTCTCTGATCACAGAGCCCTCTAATTTAGAGGGAGTTTCTGGGGCCTGTTTTTCATCTTTTCTGGTTTGACTATCACCAACACTTGCCCTCTGTGTCAGAGACAAAATACAGCCCTGTTCCAACCCAAGATGCAGAATAAGTTTTCTTGTAAGTTAATCATAAGGTGGGCTTTCTTAGTCAAAAGAACTTGAACCCAGCCCTGCTGGCTCAGTGGGAGAAATCAGATTCTGAGGGGGAAGTGAGTACCCTATGCTGCTTTACTGACTCACTGTGTAAACAAGGTCTCATTGTTGAACTATAAATTAGAACTAAATTTAGTTTAATGCAGTCTTACTGTTTGGAAGGAGAGTAGTGATGACAATGTGGATCACTTTCAGCTTCCTGAAAGACCTGAGCATGTTGGCATGAGTCCCTAAAAATTTTGCTCTAGAAACTTCCATTTTATATGAAAGAGTTAAAGAATCAAACCCAAGAAGAGAGGAGGAAATGGAAATCATATTTGATTATGCAGTACGTGAGGTGCAGTTGGGAGACTATCCAAGCTCAGAGGCAAAAGAAAGGAAAATACCAAAAGATTCCAGCAAAAATAAAGAAAATTTGTACAAAAAGCCAGAATTCAAAGAGAACTGGAGGAAATATTTGCAATAAATATGTTGGGCTGATGGAAAAGGTACATGCAAATCTACAAGAAAAACCCAAGATGCTAAGTAAATAATAGCAGACACAACACAGAATAGCGAAACTACTCTGGATTATACAAGGTGGACACAAATCATTGTACATTTGTCCAAACCCATAGAATATGTAGCAAGAGTGAACCCTGATGTAAACTACAAACTAATGCTGTGTCAGTGTAGACTCACTAGCACTCTAGTGGGGGAAGTTTACAACGGGGTGGGCGTGCATGTTGTGTGTGTGCAGGGGAGGAAATATTTGGGAAGGCTGTGTACCTACTTCTCAATTTCCTGTGAACTTAAAACTGCTCTAAAAATAGTCTTTAAATAAAAGCAACAAAGAAAAAGAAGAATTGTGGAAATATTTACAAAAGTCATGTTTGACACTGGTGGAATAGCTCAAAAGAAGTGCCTGCGTAGCAAGTGTGAGGCCCTGAGTTCTAATCCTAGTGCCACCAAAAAAGAAAAAAAAAGGTTTGGTTATAGTAGACTTATTTCTTTTCATCTTCATGCCTATAATTGCCATTTTAAACAATGAACCTGCATTATTTTATATTGGAAAGAAAAAAATAAATAGTTAAAGAGTTTTTAAAGCTGCAGAACCAAGCTGTGCATATGTTTGTGTATTTAAGCAGTTCTGAGAGCTTCTAATCCCTTGTTTGCTTGTAGCAGTCAGAGTTTGTAAACTCGCATTCCTCTTGGCCATTTGTGAATGTACACAATGGGCCCTGGACTCTAAAGCTATGACCAGTTAGCATTTCTGTTCCCAGTAAAAATAAGCTGTTCCGAAGGAATCTCAGTGGGAACCATACTCTTGGAGTTTTTCCCACACTGTGTGGCTCAGTATTTTTATTTTTAAACATCTAGGACTAACCCATTAGACTAACCCATCTCATATTAAATGTATATGCATTTATTTGTTTTTAATTATAAATGTATCTAGTAGTAATTCTCTCTATCCTATCTCCCATCAGTTTAGTTTCTCAGCACCCCATTCTTATGAACCACTAATTTAAAATTCTTGAGTTTATTTGTGCAGATGCAGCAAATTCTAGAATATGTTCATTATTTCCTTCATTCTATACAAAGACTGGGACATTTTATACAGTATTAAACACCTTTTTCCCTTAACAATGTATTTTACCCCATTGGGACATAGTTCGATTCTTTATTCCTCTTATAAACACAGGAGAATCCTCCGTACAGATTCACCATAATTTACTTAACCTGTTACCAGTTGATTGACAGTTGGACTATTTTAAAGTCTATTGCTATTACAAACAGCACTGTAATGCCTGATCTTATACATGCATCATTTCAATGGATGCAAGGATATCCACAGAATGAATTCCTGGAAGCAAAACTGCCTAGCCAAAGAGTCTAAGGCTCTATAATTTTGATAGATATTGGTAAGTTATTCTCCATCAGAAGTTCACACTCCTAGCAGCCCTGCACTCTTATTTAAAAAAAAAAAGTGCTCTGAGACTGGAGAAAGTGGCTCCTGCCTGTAATCCCACCTACTCAAAAGGCCGCAATCAGGAGGATTGCATTTCAAGGCCAGTCCTGGCAAAAAGTTATCGAGATCCTATCTCAACAAACAAGCCAAGTGTGGTGGATCACACCTGTTATTCCAGCTATGCAGGAGACATAGGTAGCCAGCCTGGACAAAAATCATAAGGTCATTCCTGAAAAATAACTAAATCAGAAGGGATTGTGTGTGTAGCTCAAGTGGTAGAGCCCTTGCCTAGCAAGTACAAGGCCCTGAATTCAAATCCCAGTACCAAAAATAGTGCTTTATCTCAAATTTGATTGTTACCATTCTGACATGGGAAGAAAGGAAGTACAGTACCTTCTGATCTGGCTTCCTTTTTCAGGAGGGAGCTTAGCATGCTTTCATATGAAAGCGAAATTGCCTACTTACCATCTTTGTTCATTTTGATGATTGGGAAATTAGTCATATTCTTAAGGATTTCTGGAAATTCTTTATGGATTGGGGAGACAACTTTTCTTGGTAACCATACGTACTTAGTCGGAACCTGTGCCCAAGGTTAGAATATTCTAAAAGGGCTTCTGTCTGGGTGACTGGAGCCCATAGGACACCTTTGAATGGGACTGCTGCCTATTCAAGGAACTGTGTGGAGTCCATCTTATATACACGGATAAGAATAGATATAGTTTACATGTCGCTGCTTAAGCCTGCAAGCCTTGGCTTTCTTATTTGTAACATAAGACTTGTCACTACTTGGTTATCATGGATAACACACAAAAGAAACCAATACGGCAGTGACTACACAAGGCCATCTAATTGGAAAGAGGACAATTCTCAGAGTGAATTCACTGAGTCTGAACTAAAGATGAAGGTGATCAGAAGAAAGCCCCAGTACTCACAGAGAATCCTAGAGACTTTTAGGTGTGGCACCCCAAGAACCCTTCTCATTTGCCTGGAAGGTGCTCACTTTTGGGATGATGAACCACAAAACATAGAGGAGAAGTGTTGGGAACCAAAAGCCACAGTCTGACAAGGTCACTGTGACTTAGCAGCATTCCGACAAGGTCGGAATCTGCAGGTGCACCATGCCTCTATCACGGTGGGAAGGAATGCTAAATGGTTTCCTTTGACAGAAAAGAAGTTTATACTTAGTCAAGGACACTGGCAGTAAAAATACAGGATGGCAAAAACAGAGTGTTTTGATGTTTAAGTCTCTTCCTCTTTTGTATAAAGCTTGCTGAGAAAAATAAAATTTTGCCAGTTGGTCATCAGCCTGCTGGCCCTCTCGGTATGTGTTTTGTCATTCCCTTCCTGAGTGAGTGAGACCCTTTGTGTGTCCTGTCTTGTTCATTCCTGCCTTGAGCCCTTTCGGGTCAAGGACCTCTGTGATCCTGACAGAGAAGAATATGGTTTTAGGAGATCTCAAGGAAAACTTTCTAGTGGCATCTTTTATATCCTGCTAGTAAGTAGCCAAGCCAGATTGTGCAACCAACTAAACCAGGTGTAAACTATCAGCTTGTACACCCCTAAATAATGTGGACAAGCTGGCCCTGGGTCTCTCCAGGGAATTTTAAACTTTAAACATCACAACTTAAATCACAAACTAGCTCATCTCACCATCCTTCTCTTGGCCAAGGGTCATTGCCAGACTTCCAGACATCCCTAGAGATAAGCATAGAGTGATCCCTGTCCAGTTGAAAGATAGCCTTTCCTTACACAGTTGCACAGGGAATGCTCAGAAACTATCAGTTCCTTTCCCTTTCTGTTTTGCAACAAGACTTTGGCTTCAACCTGGTCCTTTGTTTTCTACAGCTCAGGGGAGACTGTCACCAGTGTGACCAGCTTGGCCCCTCTGCAGCCCAAGAAGGGCAAGAGGCGGAAGGAGAAGGCAGATGTTCCTCCTGCAGTCCCTGCCAAAGGTAGGGAATTGGCCTGCAATTTCCAACATGGGAGCCACAATGACTGATCCAGGGTGGGCCTGGGATTGAGAGCAGGGTCAGGGCAGGGAAATACACTGATGGTGGATAGGATATTCAGTGGAACTTTCGTCTGACACCTCCACTAGATTCCATCATAACTGGTGCTCCACCATCTCATCCCCTAGGCCAGTCCCTGGAGCGGGGATGTGGTAGCACCACGGGCCCAGTATGGGTCTGGCAGGAACCGTTGGCCAACATAGATAGAAGAATCTACATTGGGTTTACTTTGAACTTTTGAACTGCTCTACTCATGGTGAGGTGGCACAGTGGGTAGCAGCATCTTCTCGGTCCATTCAATGGAAAGAAGGGGCTCTGACTTTTTAAAGATATCATCCAACAATGCAGCGCATTTCAGATTTTTTTCCTAGGAACAAAATGAGAGTTATTCTGTGATTTAGAGTAACATGAGTAAGAAGATAGATGTTTCTCAAGGAAAAATTCTCATAAGTCTTAGGACCAAGGCTGTTCTAAGACAGTTCCTAAAATAACTGGCCAATTTAGATGCTTGACCCTCAACAAATTTGAAATATAGTTGGGAACACAAAGATTTTCAAGGTGAGCAATTTAATAACAAGACAACTACATTTTGTCTTCAACTAACATGTACAGAATGTCTCCTGGGGCCCCTTCAAGTCCTATAGTGAAAGCCATGGGGGTATCACTGGAAGATGGGAAAGCAAGGCTGAGTGGCTCATTCATGGTAGGAAGGCACGGGAAGCACAGACTTAGGTAGGGAAGAAGCAGAGAACACCTGCTCTGGGCCAAATGTCACACTTTTATATTATCTCATTCAGTACAGGGTACTGAATGCCCTACCTTTCGAAAGCTGAAAGTGAGACTTAGAGAGCTAAGTCGTAGAGTTGGGCTGTCAATGTTAAGTTCAAGTCCCAAGTCATTCAAAGACTAGTTACATGATATTAGAGGAAGAGCCTTGGTTTCCTTCTCAATTAAAATGGGACAGTAAGACTCTCCCTAATGACCTCATTGGACTATATGAGGACCAGTCATTGCTATCCAGGGCAGTGAGCAGGTAGGAAAATCTCCAGGGGAAGGTCCCAGCCTCAGTTTTGATAAAATGCATGTGGTTCTTATGTGCACACCTGACAGCCTTTGCAGCTGGCAGTGATTTATGCAGAGCTGTTATGTTGAACTGGCGGAGGGGGAACAATGACGTGGTCAAAGACTAGGCAAGGATCAACCTCCCCCACCACCACCACCACCATGATAGTACCTAGCCAAAGATTCAGAGCTCAGAAACTGGAACTCTTTCAAGGGGTCTGCCAGTTAGCGCAGAGTGTATCTTTTGATACTCACGATAGGGGGGCATTAAGAGGCCTGGGAGGAATTGCAAGTTGAACTTTGACCTCCTTTCCACAGTGCCAATAGCCACCACGTTCCACAAACCAAAGCTGTTGAAACCACAGAGGAAAGTCGCCCTGGTGAGTAACCACGTTCTGTGTTGTTGTTGTGCCTCCAGTCATAAACACACTCAGGGCTCAAGCAGTCCCTTCAGTGACTCAAAATGTGCTGCATGTTCTTGGTAACTTTGTCCCCAAACAAAGGCATTCTCTCTTCTTGGGTCAGATTTTGAGTCAGATTTTCTTTATGATCAGTTCCCAAAGCAACTTTTTAAAAATCTAAATAGAATTATCTTTCATTATAAGTGCAACTTTTCAAAAACAAGAAAAAAGACTTACTCAGAAATGTAAAAATTAGTGCAACTGCTCATACTAATTTACCTGATAACTCACTCTGAAGAGACTGCTGAGGAACCTTCCAGAAAAACATGTGAAATCTTTTTATTTTGAGATAATTTTAGGATTGCAGAAAGTTGCAAAGCTGACATAGAGAGTTTGACCTGCACCCACCTTAATATCAACATCTTACATAACCATAGTGGGTTTACCCAAACTAAGATATTAGCATGTGTGTATTGATGTTACCTACACTCCAGACTTCAACCATATTTCAAAGAATTTTCCACAGATGTTCCTTTTCTGATCCAGAGTCTACTCTAAGACATCACATCTCGTTTAGTTATCACACTCCTTACTTTCTTCCAGACTGTAACATCTACTCCATCTTTCTTTTCCTGTCACAATATTGGCTCTTCAAAAGAGTAGTGGCCAGTTATTTTTTAGAATGTCCCTTAGTGTGCATTTCTCTGAGGTTTTCTGATGATTAGAAATGAGGTTATAGATTTGGGGGAAGAGCAACACAACAGTGAAGTTCTGTTCTCACTGCCTCATATTGGGATCTGTGCAGTTGCCCCTCCTTTTCCACAGGGGATACTCTCCAAGACTGGAGTGGATGCCTAAAACTACAGGTACTATCAAGCCCTATATTGTCTATATTTTCCCATACATACCTATGATAATGTTTGATTAGTAAATGAGGCACAGTAGGAGATTCACTATAACTAATAACAAAATAGAATAATTACAACAATACACTGTAATAAAAATTATTTAAAACTTAGTTATTTAGAACTTATTATTTATTTCTCAAATTTTCCTTTTAATATTCTTAGACAAAGGTTGACTGTGGGTAATCCAGCTATGGAAAATGAAATTGAGGATGGGGAGGGGCTGAGTATGTCTTTTTAGTGCTGATGTCCATCTCAGTCCCTGGTTCAGGTCATGCTTGGCAGGTTTCTTCGCTGTGAAATTTCTATTATTTTTCTTTTCGATGCTCAATATGTTAGAAGCCAATCCATACATCCTGTTCACAAACAAGAAAGGCAGGGAGAGTCAAGCTCCATCTCCCAAAGAGAAAAGTATCAAGAATTTGTGGACATGTGAAACCCATGACAGTAGTTTCAATTGTTTTAGAGGTGATTTATTAAGGTTATGCAAATATGCTATTTTTCCTAGAACCTTATCCATGGACTTTGCATTCACCAGCACCTTTGCCTGTAGGAGTTTCTATTGTTGTGACTTTCTGTTTCCCTCAGTCCTTCTGTACTTACAGTTGGACTTTTTGTATAAGGAGGATCTGCCCCATTCTATCACTTATTTCCTTGATATTGTATGGATGCATAGATAGTTACTTAATCTTTTTTGGTTTTTAGTTGTTGCTATTTATTTTGTTGCTAATATTGTATTGTTCAGAAATTGTGTGTATGTGCATGACAGAGAGAGAGAGAGAACATGCAAAACAGAGATTGTGAAGGCAAGCTAAAATGTGCATGTACTGCAAAGGCAGTTTATCAATATATATCAAGGATAATATATATATTTTTCTACCCAGTGCTTTATCATGCCATTGTATTTAATTCTGATAATAAGATTTCTTCCTTATCCTCCAATTTTGCACATGAGGATACAAACATTCAATTTAAGAAAAGTGATAGTATACCTACAAGTGACCCGTAGTGTCTTCAGTCTTGAATTAGATAACTTTCTCTGTTTCACGGCCTGCTGGGCTGCATCTCTCTTGTATCCATTAAACACAAGCAAATACCAGTTGTGCAATTGTTGGGTACAGAATCTTGCTCAAGCAAGATTTTTTTTGCCATTTATAAAAAGATTTTGGATTCAATAGCATTTTAAAAGATGACTGGTCTTGACAGCAAGTTTTGATTGTGGACTTGGTTGTTTGTGTGTTTGCTGAGCTGACATGCTTCTCTATATGGGAACTTGGCCTAGAAAATATTTTTTAACTCTGATATGCTAAAGATTTTTTATTTTGATAAGAAAATTTTGTATAGAAAAGACATCCAATAAAAAGATGAGATGAGGAGATGTAAAATGAATTATGACATAAATAAAGAAAATATTTCAAAATAACCTATGAAAATTTTTTTATTTTTTACTTTTTTTTTGGTGGTACTGGAGTTTGAACACAGGGCCTCCACTTGCTAGGCTGGCACTCTACCACTTGAGCCACGCCACACCCCTTTTGGTTTTAGTTATTTTTGGAATAGGGTCTCATGTTTATTCCCTGGGCTGACTGGACCTTGACCCTCCTGCTTATGCCTCTGGGTAGCCAGGATGACAGGTGTTGGCCACCACACCCAGCCCCTAAAAGGAACTTAATTTTTTATGACAAGTATGGTCAGGACAGTTATATCTATATCTATATCTATATCTATATCTATATCTATATCTATATATCAAAAGGATTAGCTGGGCTCTGGTGGCTCACCCCTATAATCCTAGCTACTTAGTAAGCAGAGATCAGGAGGATCTCAGTTCAAGGCCAGCCTGGGCAAACAGTTTACAAGACCCTGTCTTGAAACTACCCAACACAAAAAAGGGTGGTAGAGTGGCTCAAGTGGCAGAGCACCAGAGGACCTGAGTTCAAACCCTAGTACCACTAGGAAAAGAATTATTTGTTTTATGAAAATATTCCCACGATTCTTTAAATATCAAGTTATCCTTTGATCATTTAAGATATGAAGAGTTTAAAATATTTTATACCACATTCTCCAGAAACAAGTCAATTAGGATACCATTTTTCACAAATAACAACTCACAGTAAAGAAAAGAGCTGACCTCAACTGGGCCTCTTTTTGACCAGCAGTTTAGAGTCAAGAAATATGAGGCCTAGCGTCTGCAGGTTTGGGCAAATATTAAGATAGATTTCCCCAGGAGGCCAGCATTGACCTCAGTTCACTCTCAATTTGGTCAATATTTATTTCTCAGATCAATAAGTCTTGATGGTAGCTTGAAACTGAAGTCAATAACTACTTGTTGAGTTATACATGCCTTAGTGGGTAATTTAGAAAATTTCTTGGAGACTTTTTCTGAGTGGGGGAAGTAGCTAGCACCAGACAGGTATTTAACTCTATCATTGTTTGATTTTGCCACACTCAAAAACAGTGCTTCCTGGTTGGGCCCTGGGCCACAGAGTCCCCATTCCTTCTTTCTAAAAGCGGTCCACAGGCTGGGGTAGAGAACTTCCATTCATCGAGCACCTACCAGCTACTCTGCTAGGAGCTTTGGTTCTGCCTTGCTTATCTCAACCCTAATGCCAGCCACGTGACAAGCTTGCTTCTTTATGTTGCAACCCACAGGGTGTTAGCAAGCAGGAACCTTATGTTTCCAAGACAACATGGCATTTTGCAAGAGGTATGTATATCAGCGATTAACAGTGATCAGAAAGTTTCTTTTTCTTTTTTAACGACGGAATACAAGAAGAAAAAAAAGGAGGGAGAAAGGCATTTTGACAACTTATAATCAAGTTATCAAAACTTCCTTCCTCCCCACCATCTCTCTTTTTTTGATCCTAGCAAGCAAATGCAACAGCCTGCTTTCCAAGGACCGCTGATCAGGCAGTGAAGCCCCTGTATCAGACAGGCTCTCTGTGAAGATCTGATAATACAGCTGGTTTGCCTAATGAGTTTACATGTTTCCAGTGGGTCATTATTCCAACATATCCAAAGGGTCCTTCATCCCTTTGGGCGTGAGGGAGCACTTCCACAAAAGTGTGGGCTAGGCTGCAGCTTAGTGGTAGAAAACTCAGGGATGGCCCTGGGTTACATCCCCAGCATCAATCAATCAATAAATAAATAGCTCTCAAAATGCACTGCAGGCAGATGCACCTGTGGGTTTCCTTTAAACTGGAGCACTGGCTCAAAACCCCTGAAGCCTTCTGGGGTCCCCAGTATTCTCACCCCACTTAAGCACCATGAAGCATGAATTAGCTCAATGAGCTAAATCACACACTTCCAGGAAAAGTTGTCGCTGTTTCCTCCTTTCAGAAGAAATGGCTACCAACCAGAAGCTCATTTGACTTATTTTTATTGCATTAGGCCAGTTTATTGATTTAGAGGCTGAATGAAGGAAGAAAATACACACTGTGTCTGTGATTTGGGAGCAAAACCTCCAGGTTTAAAGGGAAAAACACAACAGGAAACTCTACTGTTACCAGACTTAGGAGAGCGGTTACTGGCATCCCAAAGGAAACTAAAAGCAAAGTGAGTACATCTTTGGATTCAAATGAACTTTGATTCCACCCCCTTGCCTCAGTCAGCACCAGCACCCTCTGTGGCAGAGCACCTGATCTAAACTCCTTGTACTTGGCACAAGGGGAGCTGGGAGGGTTAGGCCATCCCTGTCTTTAAGGAGAAAATGAGTTCTTGTGAGCAAGAGACTGAAGGCAGAAAAACCAGGAACACTGTGGTTTAATTACCACAAGTTTCCCAGGAGGTATCTTGTAGCCTGTCTTAGTCCCTCTATCCATCCTCCATACTGCTACTTAGGGGTTTTCCTAAAATACAACTCCAGCCATGTCATTTTCCCTGCCTAAAATGTTTAGATTATGCCCCCTTGCTTCCAGGATGAAGCATGGTTTCCTGTGAATGGCAGGCAGGCCAACACCATCTATTTCTGCTTCCTTGGTCCCACCTCACCCTGGAAGCCTGTGTCCCACAGAGACCCCATGTGGGCTAAGACCTCTCTCCCGGGTACTCAGCCCTGCACCTACTGCTTTCCTC